AAAAGAATGAGCCGCAGCTAGCCACGGAGTGCATTCAGGAAGACTATTTAAAATTCAGAAACAGCCAAGGGTGTTGGAGATGCAGTTGCTGAAGGCCGGCCTGGTCTGTAGCCAGGCTAGTCAGGGCTCCAGTGGGACTCTCAAAAATAAACTAAAGCCAGTCGTGAGGAACTGCTGTTCTCTCCCAGTTCCAAGACCTCTGTTTTATAATGCAGGCTGCCTGGGGTTCAGTCTCACACAGCCAGTCTGTGGTACCCCTGCCACCGTGCCCCCAGCCCTATTGCTAAGGCACACCACCTGACCACACAGTGTTTTTTTTTTTTTTGTTTTTTTTTTTTTTTTTTTTTTTTAACTGTTTTTATATGTTACTGGCTTTGTTTTCTGAGACAGGGTTTCTCTGTGTAGCCCTGGCTGTCCTGGAACTCACTCTGTAAACCAGGCTGGCCTCGAACTCAGAGATCCGCCTGCCTCTGCCTCCCCAGTGCTGGGATGAAAGGCGTGGGCCACCACTGCCCAGTGAGGTTCCCTTGTCTCCTTGACACTGCCTTGGTTACAGGGCGGACACCAGAAATGCTAAAGATTGCATTGCACCCAGGAACAGCACATCTGATCCTGGAAGAAAACTGTTGTAGGGCACTTTGATTGGGGACCACCACCATGGTGGTGAGATTTGGCCAAGCTCACAGCTGGCTTCTAGTCAGTTCTTTGTCAGCATGGGTTGGAGAGCACTCTCACCCATGTCTTAGCATGGGACTGCATGAGGACAGAAAGAGGACATGCCTCTTCTGTCTGGATAGCCCCAGCAGGTTCTAAGGGCATAACTGACTACCTCTGAGGCCCCTCATCTAGTTTACTGTGGAAGCAAAAAGGAAAAGAAAAAGCCATACCAGAGTAATGGTCCACCAGGTCCTGGAGCGAGGGGAAGGTGAGGCGTGGTGAGATGTACAGCCAGCCATTGTCAAGGCGCTGTATCCTGTAGTGTCTGATCCGGTCCCAAGATGCAGGGCGGCTGAGTCGGATGGACAGGGAATAGCAGCCTGAGGAGGATAGGGTCCAGGGATACATCTAAGGCCCTGCTCGAGACCCAGCCCCACCCAGGTTAGAAGAAGAAAAAAATAATGATCATAGTCCAGCCTTCAGAGAGGTAGGGCAAAGGTTATTGGTTGTAATAGATCAGAACCTATGATCCTCAGGATGGGTGAGGTGTAAGTGAGCGTTCATATTGGCTGTGTAGATAAGACTCAGGTGGCAGAAGGGTTGGAACGTGAAAATGTGAAGTAGAGGGCAGCGTGGCCATAGAGAAAAAGCCACTTCGGAAACAGGTCGGTGTTAACAGGGAAGTTACCTTCACACCCAGCAGTCCCATCTCAGACACGGGAGAAAAACAGACGTGCTCTCAATAGATACCACATCCACAGACAGCCTGCCTGAGCTCAGTGGTAGAGCACTGGCCTAGCATGGCACTACTTGGTGTGAGGTAGTCCCATTGCCTCTCACAAAGTTGGATGGTGCCTTATGGAATGCAGTGCTAGTTATGTAGCATAGACTGGTGGCACATACATGTAATCCCAGCATGTGGGAGGTGGAGGCAGGAGGATAACATTCAAGGCCCTCCTTGGTTACATGGTGAATTTGAGGCCAACTTCAGCTGTGTGAGACCATCCAAAAAAAAAAAAGTAAAAGAATGAGCCGCAGCTAGCCACGGAGTGCATTCAGGAAGACTATTTAAAATTCAGAAACAGCCAAGGGTGTTGGAGATGCAGTTGCTGAAGGCCGGCCTGGTCTGTAGCCAGGCTAGTCAGGGCTCCAGCGGGACTCTCAAAAATAAACTAAAGCCAGTCGTGAGGAACTGCTGTTCTCTCCCAGTTCCAAGACCTCTGTTTTAAAATGCAGGCTGCCTGGGGTTCAGTCTCACACAGCCAGTCTGTGGTACCCCTGTCACCGTGCCCACCGGCCCTATTGCTAAGGCACACCACCTGACCACACAGTGGTTTTTTTTTTTTGTTTTTTTTTAAACTGTGTGAAGGGGGCTAACAATTACCCTGATCTCAACAGCTGTGAGCATTCAGGTGGTGAACCATGTTTGGCATGCAGCAAGCACCTGTAAGTATTTCCTGTGTCCCAGCTGTTTCTTTGTGGTAGTTTGAATAGCAGTGGCCCCCATAGGCTCATATATTTGAATGCTTGGTCATTTGGGAGTGGCACTATTAGGTTTTACCTTGTTAGGGTAGGTGTGGCCTTGGTGGAGGTATGTCACTGGGGGTGACACACCTCCTCCAAGCCAGAGTCTCTTCCTGCTGCCTCCCAATCCACGTGTAGAATTCTTAGCCACCTACCTCTCCAGCACCATGTCTGCCTGCACACTGACATGCTTCCTGCCATGACAATAATGGACTGAACCTCTGACCCTGTAAGCCAGCCCCAATTAAATGTTTTCCTCTATAAGAGCTGCCATGGTCGTGGTGGCTCTTCACAGCAATAGAAACCCTAAGACATCCGTTTATGCAGAACATTCTACCTGCAAGAGGCATGCCTTCCTTTAAAGAAGGAAGCCTCATCGGGTGGTGGTGGTGCACACCTTTAATCCCAGCACTTGGGAGGCAGAGCCAGGCGGATCTCTGTGAGTTTGAAGCCAGCCTGGTCTACATAGCAAGATCCGGGACAGGCACCAAAGCTACACAGAGAAACCCTGTCTCGAAAAACCGGGGGGAAAAAAAAAGGAAGCCTCCTGAGGGATGGCTCTGATTTATCCTACCATCTTCCTGTCTTCGTATACAACCCTGACCTGTCCATCCCTCGCTAAGACCCAGACTCTCGAGTCTCTGAGTGCTTCCTCTCACACTGTCTTGACTTGGGTCTGAAATGCCTTCACAAAGCTCTGCATGAGGGCTCAGCCTTTTCCCAGCAAGCTTTTCCGTTCTCTGGCTGCCACAAAGCGAGCAGCTTTTTTCCACATTCTTTCCCCATGAGGCAAATTACCTTGTTGCCACAGCGCTAAAAGCAACTGGGCCAGCTGATTGCCAGCAGAAGCCTGAACCACAAGCCAAGATACTGGCGACATTCAGAGCATACCTGGGATCTGACCACATCTCAACCGGAGAGAGCTTGTGACTGCTTCCTCTATGGCTTCCCACCTGCAGTTTGTCACATACAGCAGTAAGTCACTCTCTTTGGAGCCCTCTCTTCACATTTATAAGCAAAGTCCTCATCATCTTTGAAAGGCTTTGCAGAATCCGACCTCTCCTTGGACCTGTCCAGCCCCACTGGCTCTAGACTGAAGGCCTTCCTCAGGGCACAGGTACACTTACCCACAGACACCCTCATCTCCGCTTCAATGTGCTGGGCATTTATCTGTTCACTGTCCGCCTTGCCACTGGGACTATGGCTGGGCCTTGCTTTTTGTACCTTGGATCTTGGGTGTCCTATGGGTTGACTAATTGGTTGGTTTCTTGACAGAAACTCAGTATGTAGCTGAATCTGGCCTTGAACTGTGATCCCCCTGCCTCAGTCTCCCAGTGCTAGAATTATAGTGGGCCACTTGAAGACTTAACTACCCTTGCATTTCTTGTGGAAAACACACATTGAACATTTGCCCCCTACTGGCCATGGGTCTAGAGGGCCCTTCAGAGCCAGACCCTTGCTGAGGGCAGAGTGCTTAGGTGCACACAGGCCCAGCTGCCTGAATGGGTCTGAGGGAGCTGGTGTTGTGGGAGGCAAGTTTGGGCCCATCTTTTGCAGTCTGGTATTAAACATGGCCCCCTCCTTCCTGTCTGGAAGGCAGTTTGCTCCAGTTCTCATCTATCCTGCCTACCGAGGCAGACTCACTCATTTCTCCAACAAACATCTGCTGACCCCTACTACAATGCCAGACACAGGCCCAGACGTAGGTAGGTGTAAGGGACGGTAGACAGGAACTGCTGCCAGCCCGTCTCCTCACGGGTTGTCCTCGGTGGGCCTCATGGGACAGTGAGCTCCATTGTTCTCAGAGCACAGCTTTCAGTTTTGTTACAAGAAGTCAGTTCACCACAGCTGCCAGGGAGAACTGCTCAAGATGTTGCGGGAGTTTTGAAGAGCCACAGCCTGGGGAGGTGACCATGGCTCGGACCGTGAAGGACGAGTGTATATTTGCCCAGGGGAGAAGTGGGGGGTGGGGCTGTCCAGCTGTGGGACGATGTGTCAGGAAGCGATGGGAAAAATGAGGTGTATCCTTAGAGTACCTGGTAAGCAGGGAAGCTAGAGGGCACAGAGGGCCGAGAGGACGACCTTCCAGACCAAGGGCAGTGAGGGTGGCCCTGGACTCAGGATGCTCTAGCAGGCTTAGGCAGCCATGCCCAGAACTTCTGGAGTTAGGCATTCCGGTGGTGCTGGGAGAGGTAAGGGATGCCATCAGGGTCTACCTGGGGGAAATGCCTGACAGACCCTGCCTGCACTTCCTCCACTGAGGCCACCTAGGAGCCAATGGCCTAAGAGATGCTAGGCCCTGGAAGCCACAGCGTGGAAAGTGTGACTCAGCCTTGCCACTGGGACTGTGGCTAGGCCTTGCTTTTTATACCTTGGATTTTGGGTGTCCTATGGGTTGACTAATTGGTTGGTTTCTTGACAGGAACTCACTATGTAGCTGAATCTGGCCTTGAACTGTGATCCCCCTGCCTCAGTCTCCCAGTGCTAGAATTATAGTGGGCCACTTGAAGTGAACGCGTATGCCTTGAACTCTGTGTACCCGAAAGTGACTGAACGCCTGCTCCTCTGTGCGCTTTCTCCCAAGTGCTGGGATTACTGGCATGCACACAGTGCTCTAACTCAGGGCCTTCTGTTTCTGATGAGAGTTGCTTTCTGATTGACCCCCACTAGGTCCTGGGCGCAGAGATGCTAGTCCCAGAATTCCCGTGGATCCTTTCAGGTCCTTGAAGATCTTCACAGATCCCTCCTGGCATCTCCATGGATTTCCCTTGGATATGCTCCTTCTTAAGGACGAGGGGAGAAAATGGCCCAAGGGGTGGTCACTATACCCTCGGGACTGGTCACTATACCCTCGGGACTGCACCAGGCCACAGGTAGGGTGGGGTGAGGTGGCTAAGCGCTGAGCACTTCCTGTGGCTTTTCTAGCTCACAACTGGTAGGTCTGCGGGGCTCCTGTCCCAGTCACCACCGGCACTGAGGTTTCCTGTTTGCAGCTGCTGCACCGGGCCGCAGCCCTACCACCGTCCGCAGCCAGCCAATGGGTGTTTCGGAGGGTGAGGGGCTGGTGTTTCTTGGAAACTAGCAAGAGAGGCTGGGGAAAGATTAATCTAGGAAGCTCCTGAGGGAAATGCATGCAGGGTGGAGGTACAGAGCATGGACCGTGATAGCCCATCCAGTAAGCTCAAATGGGCAGACGCAGGAGGTCTGTCTGCACGCCAGTGTCTCCTCCCTAGACGGTCGCTAGCAAACTGTATTTGTGTGCCCTGAGGTCTTTCCTGGGTGCCTGACTTGTGATGAACATTTGCCAAGAGATCTTATCATGTCCTGTCTTGTAAAGGAAAAATCACCACTGCTGCTCAGAGTAAATCCCAGGTGGTTTTTGTTTGGTTGGTTTTTGCTTTGTGTTGTTTTTCAAGACACGGTTTCTCTGTGTAGCCCTGGCTGTCTTGGAACTCACTGTGTAGACCAGGCTGACCTCGGACTCACAGAGATCCTCCTGCTTCTGCCTCCTGAGTGCTGGGATTAAAGGCTCAGCATCCCAGTTGTCACAACATAGACTCAGCTTGGATCCCTGCCAGTGGGTCACACCCACCTTGCTCTATTGTCCAAGGACGGTCATGGCAGCAAAAAAGTGACTCAACTCCAAGCCTAGGCATCCACTCCACAAAGTGGATTTACCTTGATTGCTCCAGGTAAACTGTCTTTCCTTTGCCCTCATAGCCTGGCTCCACCTCAGGCCCTTTTATAGTCAGGGCCTGGCTGGACTCCAGAAACCTCCACTGCTGGGAATAGCAACACTCTGTCCTCTCTCCTGAGCCCGACTCTGGAGAGGTGTGTGGGACGGAGTTTACCTCTCCTGGTCTGGCTCTCTCTGATGAGGAAGGCCCCTCCGGGGTTTCCAGGCAGCAAGAGCAGTTCCTCAGCTCTCTCCCTGCTCAGGCCCTCGTACAGCCACCTGGTGGAGCACGGAGACAGACAGGGTGAGCTTGTGGGCTTGAATAGAATCCTTCTAGGAAAAGGGTTGAATATGCCTCTCCACGACCTTGACAAGATCTTCCCTCCCTTACCCTTGGCCTCCCTTGCCCTCTGGACCATGAAGAGCAGGAGTCAGAGGCTCAGAGACCCCCCTCAGCCTTGCTCTCGGGCTCCTGACTCCAGAGACTTTGGGGAACAGCCCTATGAAGACAGCCGCAGGCCTTCTTTGCCTGGAGACTTCACTGCCAAATGTCTGGGAGGTAGTGGGTGGAGGGGGGCCGGGGAGGGGGGCACAGGCTGCCCCAGCCTCTGTCTTCCCCGCCCAGTCCTCCAGCCCCACTGCTGATCCACTCGCCCTTGCCGGAAGTGCCCCTGGTCTCCCGCTTTGGGATGTCCTGTGCCTGTCCCTCTGTGACCCCTTCAGTGTTCTCGACATTTGATCCTGACCACCTTCCAAAGCCCCACCCCACACCTTCTCCTCTATGGGGCCTTCTCTGGTCTCCCAGGTCTCATGGGCCAAGGTGAACAAGACATGACAGTTGTCTGCTGCTCTGAAGGGCAGGGCCCAGGCTCTGTTCAGCTTGTGGCTATGCATAAAGAGAACACTGTGGGAAGAGTGTAGGGAGGTCCTGGAGGTGGCCTGGGCCAGGTACTCACCCATGGGAGACTTTAGCCACATGCACACTGGGGATGTGATACTCTCTGCCCGAGACTTCCGATATGACTGTCCACCAATCTCCATCCCTGTGGAGAGATCACAGAGGGCCACCTTCATTTGGAGTTTGTGAGTCCCTTCTCCAGATGGAACTTGCAGCACCTTTTCTACTCATTTCCCAGAATCCCTACACCAGTTAATCCAGGCTCCTCCTTGGGTGAGGGCCTGGCAGGTAGCACGTGATCCAAGGCCTCCTGTTCCAAGGCCTGACCCGACTCCCTCTGTCCCTGTAGGTGTGACAGGCTGCCAGAAAGCCACCCGGAGACAAACATGATCACATGGGAGCCTTTCCACAGCGGCCCTGTGCCTCCCGCTGGTAGTGGAAGGGCCCCCTCTCCCACAGTGCGACCTCAGGACCCAGTGTTGTATGTGACTTACTCAGAGATGATGGTTAGTGGCTCCCCGAGTCTCAGAGACAGTCCAGCCTGCTCACCTGCTGGGAAACTGCCCAGGGCCACCGCTGTCACCTTGCTTCTCTCTAGAGAGAGGGAGAAACACACCCTCTTGGTCAGTCCTCCCTCAAGGTGTGAGCTACTTGATTCTTGCCTTGGTCCGGCTCCCCTCATCCACCCCTCCCACAGGCACCCTGAAGCGGGGTGACTCTGGAGTCTGAAATGCTCCCAGAAGGCTCTACAGAACCTGGGAGAGCTCAGATAGCTTTGGGGGTTCCCAGGAGGGCCTTCAATATGTGTGGCTGGCGGAGCAGGTTCCTGGCCACGCCTCCCTGTACCTACAACTTCCACAGAGACTTTGAGGAAGGACTCCGCAGCTGGAACTAACCACCTGCAGGGCTGGGCTGTGGCTGAATGGGGCAGCACTTGTCTAGGATGTGTTAGGCCCTGGGTTCCATCCTTAGCCCATGACGAAACAGACACCCACTGCAGCTAGAAGCCCAGGTCAGCGTGGCTCTGCGTGGGCCTCTGAAAGGCAGTGGGGGGGCCACACAGTAGCTCTGAGGGTGGGGGTGGGGTGGGGGACTCAGGAAGGCTAACAGCTTGACCTGGGCCCCAGGAAGGAGACAGGAAACAGGGTCTGTGAGCTGAGGCTAGCCGCCCTCTCCAGGGTGGGCTCTTCGGCACACACCTGACTCTGGTTTCTTTGTTACTCCTCCGTCAGGCCCTGGAGAGATGCCCATGTGAACCGGCTCTGTAACTCTAGAGCACTGCGCACAGGCACGGGCTGGACTCCCAGTGGCCTATGTCCAGGGCAGTGAGGGAAGGCCTGTGCTGCCCCGAGAAGTGCCGCCAGAGGCTACGATTGCAGGCCTGGCCAGGGCGAGTGCCCCACGGGAGCGTGTGACTAAGGGTCCTGCTAACCCTGACTGTACTCTGCACATCGGGCCCACTGGGGTCTTCGTCCATCACCTTGCTTCTTACTGGGCCCTCACCACTGCCCTGACGTCGGCGTGTCTAGTCATCTCTAGGCCCCGATGTGGCACTCAGCAAGGGGAGGGCGTAATTCCAACTCCATAGCACTCTGTTCACAGACCCAGGCCGGAGAGGAGGGGAGGGTGAGGGGCTGGTTGACAGCTGCACCTCTCAACAAGGGCCCCAGCTTCCTGGGAGGCGAAGGTTCCAGTGGAGGAGGGATTGGCCTAGGTCCTGGAACCAGAGTGAAGCTAAGACACTGGTCACCCTTGAAATGGTCCTAAGGACTCAGAGGACATGAAGTCCAGTTGGGGGTGGGGCTCACACTTGCTTCCAATCAGCCCACCCAGTCCAACAATCCCTCCTAAGCTTGTGGGGCCTGCAAATGTCTGTTAAAAACCAATTCATGCCGGGCGGTGGTGGCACACGCCTTTAATCTCAGCACTCGGGAGGCAGAGCCAGGTGGGTCTCTGTGAGTTCGAGGCCAGCCTGGTTTACAGAGCGAGATCCAGGACAGGCTCCAAAACTGCACAGAGAAGCCCTGTCTCGGGGAAAAAAAAAAACCTAATTCACCTACCTCACCTCTATTTCCTTCCTCCTGTCCTTTCTCAGTAACGGTCCCCAAAAGAGAGACTTGCTTAGCACAAGGGTGCAGGAGGCCAGGAAAAGCAGTCAAGGTCCACAGGAAGGGTTCTTTGTCCCTAAGGAGCTCCCAAAGTAGCAAGGTCCCACAGGACTCTTGGATGCTCTCTAGAGGGAGCTGAGACCCAGGAGTGGGGGAGGGGGAGGAGACAGACAGACGAGGGTCCAGGAGGTAGGTGGGGGCTGAAGGGTCTCTGCTGTAGGTAAGAAGGCACCCGTTCCCACCTCTGCCTCTTAAAAGGTTAGCGGAAGCCTCCCAGCAGCAAGCTCTTCAGCTCTCAGGGTCTTGCTGCCCAGGGCCTGGGTCCTGCAGCGGAGAATGCCTGATGCCTCCCTCCTATGGAGGTCTCTCTCCCGTAAGCGTGGGACAAAGCAGCCTGTGAGGTTCCTGGCCCTCTCGAGAGCTGTGGTCTTGCATGCCCAGCAGGCACAGCTCCCTAGTGGCTCCTCCCGCTGGCCCAAGTGGCCTATTTACTTTTCTTTTCTTCAGAAAGGCTACTCCGACCCACCCCTCTGCACACTCATCCCTGCAACAGTCACAGATCTAACAGGAGCGCCACTCATCATGATTCGGTGACTGTCTCTGTCGGGGACAGACCTGTCTTGTTGTGTCTTCAGCTCCTGTCACATGGCTTGGCCTGGGGGGACACGGGGCTTCTAGACTAGCTAGTGAAAACTCACAGTCCTCTGGGACAAGGCAGCTCCATTGAGAAATGGCCTCCGTTCCTGGGAGACCAGGCGGAGAGGGAAGAAGAGCCCCCCTGAGCCCAGGTACATCTTCAGGCCCGGGATGACTCAGCAGCTGTCTCCTGCTGCTAGCTGAGTGGAGGGTGTGGTTTTCGGGGCTCTTCCTGCAGGTCTCCCACTGCAGAAGAGGGGGCGCCCAGGGTGTCGGGGCCCTGTGGGGGCTGGTATTGGGGAGATGAGAGGCTTGAGTGCAGAACAGGAAAAGAAACCCTGCCGCTTTAAGGGATCTGGGGGTTGGGGGCCAACAGTGTCTGCCAAGCCCGGACGTTCAGACATCTTGGCTCTGCAGTCTCTAGGGTGGGTTAGTCAACGCTCGCTGTACCCCTCCGAACAGTGCTGCTGGGTTTGGGTGATCTTGTTATCTGGGATGGTTAATCCTCTGGACCACCAGGGCTCCACACAGCATTTAGATAGTATCTGGTCAAACCAGTCTGGATATTTCTGGGAAGATAGTTTTCAAACAAGGCAAAACCCCACCCCCATTTGAAAGTACAGGCTCTTCTAGTGTGGCCCAGGCTATACATAGACCCACAATTCTCTTCTCTTCACCTTCTAAATGAAGGAAGTACAGGCTCGAATAGCTGCAGCTAGCTTGATGCCCACCTTCATGTTGGCACATGTGCTGGGATGGAACCACAGGCCCCCTGTGCTGCCTACCCATCCAGCCCTCTAACCCTGAGTTCCACCTCTAACCGCTTACATCTAATGTTCTCAGCACTCCTGCAGGTTCAGCACAAGCTGGGAGCTTGTGGCTCACTGGGAAGGACAGTCATAGGCTCTCACTGAAGTCTGGGGTGGTGTTGGGGTTGTTGGCCGAAAACCCAGAGGTGGTGAGCTCTAGGTCTGTAGACCCACAGACATGACTTACCTGCTTGTGTGCACACAGCTCCTTGGACTGGACCAGAGGAACTGGGGTTAGCGCTGGTGGACAGGCTTTTCCTTCTGCTGGGCAAACTTCCCATCATTCCTCAGCAGACTCTCAGAAGCACACGGCTGAAAGAAACCTGAAAAGGATGCCGCTGTGGGGACACAGTCCATGGATCCCAACATGGACCCAGACACGTGGCTCTCACAGGAAAACGACCTGGTCCCTCAGGGCCATCGAAAAGGCAGTATCCCAACAGCCAGTCTCTCAGGGCCTTGCAGGCATCACTGTGTTGGACTGACCAACATAGATACCAGGCTGAGGCTGCGGCAAGTTGGAGGTGTTTTCCCTGTATCCCATCCTTCCCAGGCAGTGATGGTGCCCCATTCAAGTCCTCTAGACCTTTTCCTGTGTCCCCTCTAGCGGGCCAGGCTGCCCTTTCCATCTCTTTGTGTCTGTCTGGATCCCAGCATTTCTCAGGAAGCTTCCTAGGAGTTTTTGGCCCTTGCTGATCCTCCTTTGAACTCCCGTGGCCTGAAGAACCATTCCTTCACCTAGGGTCACAGTCTGCTGGGTGGTGGCAGGGAGAGTGACAGGACACTGAGCTCTCTCCAGGCATGTCAGCGACCACAGCTAGGGTGAGAGATGGACCAGGAGGAGCCAGGGGACCTTGGGATGGAGGTCACATGCAGAGGCGACACTGAATAGTTATTGGTGCCAAGAGCACTGGGTAAGATTGCTGGGAATCTGTCAGTCTATGTGACATAGTGGTGACTTGCAAGGCTCTGAGGGACTGACTGGTCACTTCCATTCTTGGTGTCCCCTTTCCTCATCTGAGAAGTGGGGATAACCACACCCAACACTTGGGCATGGTAGATAATGCCTGGGAAAGCCGGCCCTGGGAGCATACTTCCTTCCTGGTTTTGAATGTCCTGTTACAAACTCTGTTATTGTTGTCTTGTGTTCTGTTTTCATGAGACTGTGAACTGAGGACCATGTTCCCTAGGTTCTCCCCAAACTCTTGGGCTCAGGTGATCCTCTTGCTTCATGGTCCTGTGACTGCCACCAGGCTCAGCTGGAACATGGATGTGTTCAATCCACCGTCCCTACAGTCCATGCCCTGTCCTCAGCATTGGGAGGCCCACCGAAGGCACCCAACACACAGCAACAGAATGAACCCAAGTGAGTAGAGTGTTTGGCACAGTGTCTTGTCCTCAGACTAAGCAAACCTTGGTTTCTAGAGGAATGCTGCTTTTCCAGTACTATATTAAGTGTTTCCGTGAGGGGGCCTGGCTCTCTAATCCTTTCCAGATGGTCTCATAGTTTTCAGCAGG